ACAAACCGTTGCTATGATACAAGAAGACCATTTTCACACCGCTGTCGCTCAGAGGAACTTCTAATGGAGAATAATGTCTGATGAAAAGTTGAAGTCGTTTACTTGCTTTTGTCACTTTCAATTTTTCTTCTAGTGCACTGATTTGCTTAGCTGAACAGCCAATCAGAATGATTGCTCTCACCACACCGATGCGGATTCAACATATCGGAAAAAGGCCGACATGTAGCGACGGAGCTGGACACACTGCAAAATCTAGGCCGACGATCTCCTTGGTGTGTCAGCGCCTTTTCGGTCTCTCTCTCTCTCTCTCTCTCTCTCTGTCTCTCTCTCTCTCTCTCTCTCACTCTCTCTCTCTACAGCAAAAAGTCTCTCTCTCTCTGTCTCTCTCTCTCTCTACAGCAAAAAGTCTCTCTCTCTCTCTCTCTCTCTCTCTCTCTCTCTCTGTCTCTCTCTCTCTCTCTCTCTTTCTCTATCTCTGTCTCTCTCTCTCTCTGTCTCTCTCTCTTTCTCTATCTCTCTCTCTCTGTCTCTCTTTCTCTCTCTCTATCTCTCCCTCTCTCTCTCTCTCTCTCTCTTTCTCTATCTCTCTCTCTGTCTCTTTCTCTATCTCTCTCTCTCTCTCTCTCTCTCTCTCTGTCTCTCTCTCTCTCTGTCTCTCTCTCGCTGTCTCTCTCTCTCTCTCTCTTTATCTCTCTCTGTCTCTCTCTCGCTCTGTCTCTCTCTCTCTCTCTCTCTCTCTCTCTCTCTCTCTCTCTCTCTCTATCTCTCTCTATATCTCTCTCTCTCTATCTCTCTCTGTCTCTCTCTCTCTCTCTCTGAAATGAGTTCTGCACTTTGAGTTTCAGTGAATGATCTTGAGTTATGATGTTGTCAACCTTTCAGATTTTGACATACTGTAGGTGTGTGACGTAGGGGAGAAACCTGTGTGTAGTAAGTTTATTAACAGAAGGAAAGCGAGCGTGTGAACACAGCCACACACACATCCTCAACGTTCTCATCTGTAACCTTCCAAATATAGTGAACACAAATGTTTTAATTGGCAAAAGAGAGAGAGAGTTCATGCTTGGTATCGTTTGTCAGCTCGGGGTAATTACCACACGTCCGTCTATTGTAAGCCTGTTTGGATGTAACCCAACACCCCGCTGCAGCTCGGACGCTGTTTGCTTATAATTACACAGAGCCCGGAGAGGTGGGAGGTGCAACAAACTCTGGCAAATTTCATGGATTAAATTGAAGAAAACGGTTTGGGTAAGCTGACAGCGTTGTAAATAATGATGAAATGTGTTTATGTGTTCGAGAACGGGACGCGGTTCAGGAGCGAGTCTGACAGTGTGAGGTGATTTGGAGACTCTGATGTAATGAGAATATGACGGGACGTTACTCCTGCTGTGAGCCAATGGAGCTGCCATTATCTTATAATAACAATACAAGTGGTGAAGATGTTAGTGAGAAATTCTTCTGAAGGTTCATGGAAATACAACCCAAAATCCAAAAAAATTGGGACGTTGTGTAAAATGTAAAAAAACAAAACAGAAAGTGATTGAAGCCCATAATTAATTGGAACAGAACAAGGACAACTTTTCAACTGTTGAGACTTTCAGTCCTGACTTGGAGCTTCAAATACGACAAAGGAGACCCTGAACTGTTGAACACCCGAGATCTTAAATCTGAAAACGAGTTCAACCATTTAAAAAAATACAGAATTTGTTGTCTTGGCTCATCAGTTCTCCAAACTCTTAAAAAGTGATTCCACAGAGCGGCTAACTGGTATCAAATTAAAAAATGGCGCATGATTTTCCTAAAACAAAGACATCTCTCAGTTTCAATGTTTTCTTTATGCTTTTCTCAATTAATTATGAGTTATCACATTCAGCTTTTATTCACCGTTCTCAAGACCCTGACACACCAAGCAGACTGCAAAGAAGTGGTGGTGAACAAACAAACACACCAGATTAAATAAGAAGCAGATTCACATGATCAGGTTCATGCAGACTCCAGCTGCACAGCTCTAAACTCTTTCAACTCGCTGTCTTCACTTTCTTTTCATGACTCAGTTATCCAAAGTTTCCAAACATCAAATGAGTCATCTTCATCTTCATCATCATCGTCATCATCGTATGAGAATACATTTCCACATTAGTGTTTGTTTTTTTCCACTCTGTGCAGAAAGTTCTCGAGTGTTTCCTTTTCTTAAACTCAAGTTTTTATTCTTCTTTTGTTGCTTTCATTCAGTTCTACTCTAAAACAAATTGTCAATTTGTTTTTGAATGTTGCATATTTACATCACTGTTTTCTAATTACTTTAGCAATAAATGTAAGGAACTGAAATATGTTCATTAAATCTGAGGCCTGGGTGTTACATCAAGGTTTTTGTTATGATATATCTTCAAACTATACGGTTAATGTCGATATATTTCATGTTGCATTAAAATAAAATTAAACATTTCTCCTAACACTGTTCTTCATCGTCCTCTCTCACTCTCTCTCTCTCTCTCTCTCTCTCTCTCACTCTCTCACTCTCTCTCTCTCAGTAACCGTTGATACACTGCTGTGTGTATTTTGTTTTGCAGGAAAAGCACATTATTATTTATTTCATTTAAAGAGCATTTCATTTAATAGTTTATTTATTATTTCACAAACTTGTAGATAGTTGTGTGATTTGTTTTGTACATATTAACATTGCGCAGCTGGCTCATAATACAATTGTTTTTGTGGATTTCACATAGAAATGAAATAGTTTTTGTTATTTCTTTACAGAAAATAGAAATCCTATCCTTCATACATCTATTTAATAAGACGGGTGAGTAGGAGAGCGACCGTGTCCTTAGATGACTTAAAGGCCTGATGAAGGTCTAATACCCAAACGCTGACAGTTAGAGACAGTGTGTGAGAGTTTATCTTTATATCGATTTACAGTAAAAAAAAAAAAAATCATGTATCCATATCTACACGCTCTAATAAATTGTTTTTCAAATTGCCTGATTTAAAAAGGTAAAGTCTCTAAAATGTGAAGGCCATCAGAGAAAACAATTGCTTACATTATTCAGCCAATCCCTAATTTAAAAATGTAAGAAGGTCATTTTTAGTCATTAGAACAAAAATAGGGTAAAAACTAGGACCAGACCGATATGGGGCGGATATGGATATTTGGGAGAATAAAAAGTCTGATATTAAAATATCGGCCGATATCTTTCTCAGATTTATGTTTGATCTGTTGAGAAAGATGGATTTATATACGCATTTATAGCCTTGATCCCTCGAGCAGTTATCAAACACTTGAAGAAAAGATATACAGTTTAATATATGCTATTTGATCGGTGAATAAATGTAATTATAGCGATGCATATCTGTGATAAAATAAGCCGATAGTTAGTCAATGGATATCCTCATATCTGCAGTTTAATCGGTCGCGCTCTAGAAAACACTCTACATGCAGAAGCTTCTATTCCTCGGTGCTCTACATGAAAACGAGGCCTCTTGATTTGTGAAAGTGTCCAGATTGAACATTTATTTGGTGAAATGCACTGTGGGACGTCGAGGCATCGACTTCCTCTGTGAGGAGAAACGAACCCCCATGACAGTGAGTCACAGTCTGAGACACATGAGGAGGGATGTAAAAAAAAACAACAAGAGGTTAAATCTGCACAATTAGCCTGGCTGGCAGACACAGCAGAGGATAGGGGTTAATGATACACAACCCCCCCCCCCCCCCCCCCCCCCCCCGTCTTGATGAATGTGTGTTTGCATTCCTGCTCGACAGCCGAACGGGCCTGAAGCCGTCGAAGGTGTCAGGAATATATCGGAGGGGGCGGGTAACGGATAGAGGATGCTTCATACGCTCCCTCATATGTTGCAACATGTGTGACGGCTGTTTTTTACATTAGTGTGACGGCTGTTTTTGGCACGTCGTCATGGCGATAAAGGTAAGGATGAGACAAACATTTTTTGGGGGGGATCTTAACTAATCAATTCTTTTTTTCTCTCTCTTGCAGATGATTCACTCTTCTGTCAAGCTGACTGATTGGTCGGGTTTATTTATTTACTTCCTGATGACTGATGTGAGAAAACTCGGGGACTTAAAAACCAGTCAGCGGGCGGGGTAAGAGTTCCCCTCGCATGGCCGCCGTCAGAAGCGAGCGCCATGAAACCTTCGCTCTCCGCGTGTATTTCCTGCGTGCTGCATGTGTACTGCGAGGTGTCTGTGGGCTTGTTTGCACAGGGACTCAGCTCCTGTTATCTTTCCCTGCAGCTATAGAAGAGGTGAGAAAACCTACCCTCACTCTTTTCAGCCCCTCCTCCTCCTCCTCCTCCTCCTCTTTTTCTTTCTTTGACCCTTATTAGCTACGCTGAGGGGGCTGATGGCAGCCGATTCATCCAGCACTTAATGGTGAGCACACCTGCGTGGGGGCGTCTTTTTCCTCTTCCTCCCCCTCCCCCACTTCTCTCCCATCTTTCACTCTCTTGCCAATCTATTTTTTGTTGTTGTTGCGTTGTCTCCCCCCCTTTCTCTCTCTCTCTCTCTCTCCTATCTTCCCTGTTTCTCCTTCGTCTCTGACCTTCACCGGGGATCACTTCACACCTTTAGCTCTGTTTGTTTTGCTTGTCCTGTCGTCCCCCCTCACTCACCCCCTCCCTCCCTCTCCTCCTCCAATGAAGCCAAATAACTCAGTTGTCGATGAGGGAACACCCAGCCCGACATGCCCGTACCTCCACGACCTTCCACAATCCCCAACAGACCCCCCAACTCATCCCCGCTGACAGCAGGAATGAAGACGCTGCTTCCTGTAATTCATCTCAAACTGTTGCACATCGGGCTGAAATCCTCTCAGTTAGGGTCTGGTACTAAGTAAACATGTGCTGCTTTGTATGTCTTAGTGAACATTTAATGCATTCTGATGGAATTGCTGCAACAACAAAAAAAAGTTAAAATGTCGGCACAGAGAAAGAGAAAGAAAGAGCCTGAAGTGGCTGAAGGAGAATCCTGAAGAGGCCCTCTGTACCTTTGCAGGCCTTCCTGTGTGAGATGGGTTTGGACAGGTCTCTGTAGTAGCCCTCCTTGCAGTAGTGGCAGTGGCGCCCGGCTGTGTTGTGGCGACAGTTGAGGCAGACTCCTCCGCTCTTCCTCCCCGACAGCTTGTACAGCTCCATGTTGAAACGACAGCGCCGCGCGTGCAGGTTACAGTTGCAGGCTGAGGACGGAAACAGGGAGCAAAAGGAATGAGTGACAGAGAAGAGACCCTGCAAAAACTTCAATTGTACAAAAGTTTATTTGTCTTACTGCGAGTGAAAAATATCTGTCAACACATCATCTAAGACAAGTCCAGTCAAACCTTATTTCAAAGTATTATAAACAAAAAAAAGGTCTGAATTTTATACAAAGTCACCTTACCAGATGCCGACGCAGCTAGAAATTTTTGTACAGATAAAGTAGCATTTATTTCTATTGGATGCACATATTTCATACTTTCTCTATATATATATTGTGTTGTATATTTGTATTGTATGGAAGCCCAAAGTGGACATGAATCATTACATATTTTTTAACTCTGTTTCTGTGATAATGAGAATTATTTTGTTTTTTTTTCTCTCTAGATCTTTTTTCTCTCGTTATCTCGGGATAGCTATGCTGGTTTTCCTGTGACAATGACTTAATCGTCTTGAGATCTCAAGAAAAATGATTTATTTAAGTCTTTGTCATGGAGAATTAAGACAACAACTTTTTCCAGGAGTTTTTTTTATTTTTTTTACAAGCACCAGAGTTAAATTTCTTGCATAAAGTCAGAGTGAGCCGATGTTTTAAAGCAGCAGGAAACATTCAGGAAACATCTCCATGAGTGTTTTTACAGGGGTTAGGACGTCTTTATCACATGACTGGTACGATAGTCGTGTATGTAGTTAGGCTCCCTTTTCTTGAATTTAAAGTCGATGTGATTTAACATAGTTTCAATAAAACAGAGCATGAAACTGAAGAGCTGCACAGAGAGTTTAAAGCTGCTGATAACTTCTAATTCTTGTCCCTAGTTTGGCCCTTGACATGTACTTCTCTGCTCATCAGTTTGTTCTTTTCCACATCACTCAAGAAAAAGTTTACTGGTAATTGAATGAATATTGATGACAAAGTAAAAAATGTGCAAAATACTGATTTGTCTTTGACTATGAAACTTCAGAAAACATGCTGATTTAACATTTACTACAGAAACCCTTATTTCTGTAGTAAAGTTTTATGTCTTTTAAAGGACCTGTGTGTAGACTTTGTCCACCATTTCCATTGCACTTTTTCTGCATCATGTCTTGCCTCCTGAGACACACCCCCCTAACCCCCCCCCCCCCCCCCCTCAGGAAGCAACTCTGGAAGATTTCAGAGGCAGGCTGTCCTGAGATTTCCAGGAGTGCAAGTTTGAAAACAAACTATAAGAGACATTAAACCTCTCTGATATCGAGTTCAGACTTTTGCATCTCTCTCCTCTCTCACTCTGTCTCTCTCTCTCTCTCTCGTCTCCTTCCTCCTATTCTCTCCCTCTCTCTCGTCTCCTTGTCTCCTTCCTCCTCTCTCCAGAGTGCACACTGTACTGAACACAAAGTTGAGTTTCATCACATCCTCCTCTTCCCGAGCGAGTCCCAACTGAGCATGTGCGAGACTCCTCCTCACCACTTGCTTGTTTACTGATCAGTACAGTCGCCCCGCGCCGAGTTTAATTAGCCGGCTGATGTTTATTCATGACTTCCTGGCAGCCGAGCGAGGCCGACGTGCCCGACTTCATTAAGACCAGGCCGTGCGAGACGCCGGCCCCTCCACCGGCACCGCAGACGCACTCATGCATTATTCACAGCAACGCTTCTGATACAGTTTGTGGCTCGGCTGTGTGAGGGGAACATACTGTACTCTCTCTCTCTGTGTGTGTGTGTGTGTGTGTGTGTGTGTGTGTGTGTGTGTGTGTGTGTGTGTGTTCATCGAGGGTTATCTGGGTCCCCTGGTTGGAGCTTCTGAATATTTTCCCAGCAGCACCCTCTTCACACAGCTCATCATCCTCCCCGTCATTACTGAGGAAGACCGAGGGAAGCTCGCATTCCCCTCAGCATCCCTCAAACCTGACATTTCACCAGAGTGTGTGTGTGTGTGTGTGTGTGTGTGTGTGTGTGTGTGTGTGTGTGTGTGTGTCCGAGTGCAACTGTGTAATCTTCATGTGTGTGTGTCTGGGAATGTTTTATCTGGATGTGTGCGACTCCTGGGATTCCCCTCTCTCCACTCTGAAGGCCTAATTACAATATATTTTCTAAAACACACACACACACACACACACACACACACACACACACACACACACACACACACACACACACACACACACACACACACACACTTTATCAGTAGTGACTTGGGGGTTTAATTAGTGAAACGTCTCAGCTTCAGACTGCTTGTTTTAAGCCTCTCTGTTTAATTCAATGTCAATAAAATAAAACTTTTAATACCACGAGATGATCTTATTTATTTTTTATAAGCGTGCTCTACCATTGGCTGAATTTAATCACCTGATTTTGCTTTTTTTATTTCTATTCTGAAAAATGCTCGGTTTGTTTTTTATGTGTTTACTTAAACTGAAATGTTTAGGACTCACATCAGGGCTGAGCGATAAATCTAATTCATCAATAAATCGGATCTCTTCCACATTTCAAGATTTCCCCCTCAAATTTCTCAGCTGCTCCACTCGGGTTCCCGTAGTTCACATCCTCCTTTCTTTACTTCCTACAGAGTGTCTGGCATCATGACATGACGTCCTGATGAAGACTCAGTAGAGTTAAATAAAGGATTTTTATCTGACATCAGAGTGCCTCAGACTTTGTAATTGAAGACCGCCTCTCCACACTTCAAACTTTCTTCATCATCAGGACAGTATAACTTCTTAATTTTTTTTACATATTTATAATACATTTAAAATCATCGTTGTTAGACTAGCAGTTCAACGCTGCTCGCTGCCGTCAATGCGACTCATTGCACAGCCTGACTTCATATTTTCTCTCGTCTTAAATAGTGCAAAAGGGAGTTTTTTTTTTTTTTTAAACAGGAATGTTCTAGAAAATTAACTTTGTACAGTGAACTGCTGACAGCAACTAAAAAAACACGAGGGAGGGAAAAAAATCCAACGCTGTCCGTGAAACAAAAATCAGAATTGACAAGGCCGAAAAAAACAACAAGAACAGGAAGTGGAATAAACAGAAACCTCGATATTCAGATTGCCAGAACTTCTTTAAAGCTGTTTGACTTTTGTCTCCTGTTCTTAAAGAACACCTGATTCATCTGTTTGACCCAGTGCAGCACTCACTTCTATCTCCTTAATAATGCTTCATGTTATTAAACTGTTGGTAAGAATGAGTTTTGATGTCCGGTTGTTTGGCCGGTGGAGGAGGACTCTCTGAGGTCATGACTCATGAATCCAGGTTAAAACGATCGTCTTCACCCCCGGTGTCCTGTGTGCTCGCTTCCTCTCCTTAAAGTGACACAGATCGGATGTTTGCATTGTCGTCCTAAGCTTCATTCACACCTGTGTGTGTGACTCACGTCGGGGGGAGGGGGGGGGCTTTCACATTCACACCGCTCTGACTCCACTTGGGAAAACCCCCTTAAGTTCGCCGCCAGACACGACCTCGATACTGAGCGTCTTGGAGCAGAAATGTTTTCTGGATTTGAGTGATAAGAGTGAGTTCAGTTCTCCTCTCTAGACGTGGATATTTCTTCTTTAAATCAATATGTAAACATTGATCACATGATGGATAAAGCTCTTAGAGAGCTCTTATGTGATCTCTAAACCTGAGCTGGCTGTCAATCATCCCGGGAGGCGGGTCCAGTTGACCCTGTGATTCTGGCTCCAGGGGCCACAGTTTAAGTGAAAGCTACACCTGAGCAGCTAACAGGGATCAGTGGAAAGAGTCAGACATGTCTCCGTCTCACACACCCTCCCTCTGGGGGGAATTCAAGCTCGCAGACTACTCCCCCCCATGCCTCGTCCTGGGGAGGCCCCGCTGGTTATTGTAGTCAGTAAACAGGCTGGATGTGAAGGTGTGTGTGTGTGTGTGTGTGGGGGGGGGACATTGTGTTGAAACCGTATCATGCTTCATCAGGTATTATGTCAGAGAACGGAGACGAGTGAGAAGCACTTTATGTAAACTCAGTGACACTGAGAGCGTGATGCAGGATGAACGCTGGATTTAAAATAAAAATAAAAAACCTCATGGTGTGCTGTTATTGGTGGCACCGATCCAACACGTCTATTTTATGAGTGACATCATCGAAGCCTCGTCAAAATAAGAGACACTCCATTAAAATACAAACTGTGATATTATCTGATCTGGTTGGATTTTGACAACATTTGTATCAGACCTAAAAAAGCTGTGATTATATCAAACATTTGATTTTAAGGTAACGCCAGGAGGAGTAAAAAAAGGCCTCCTTAAAACATCTCTGATTGAGTTTTATGACCACTGACACAAACGACCGAGCTCACTGGGGCTCCAGCAAAACTCTCATGATTTTATTACGACTTTGGACTCTCGTCTTCGACTTTGAAATCACTTGAGAAGTCATAAATGTAACGCCGGCAGACACCAGACTGAAGGATGTAAATAACTTGTGAGATTATTCCAGGTCGCCTCTAAAGAGAGCTTCAAGATTATTTAACGATTCCCTCATTGGACAAAAGATTTAAGGGGATGAAATGTAACGCTTCATGATCCCTCGGACAGGAAGTGAAGTGAACACATCTCTCTGCGGCTGTGAAAATACCTGCTCTTTCTGTTTTTAGAAAGGCCGCTGTGATAACCAAATAATAGAGCACTGTGTGTACTGCTGCACACACACACACACACACACACACACACACACACACACAGCATTCCTCACACCTGGTCTTTACAAGCAGCAGGATTCAGGGTTTGTGCCCTTCAGTGGAGACACAAAAGCTGAGCTGTGGTTTATTTCAGCCAAGCGATCAGCTCACACACCTTCACAGCAAACAAAAGCTGCTGCTGCTATTCACACCGGATCACACACACACACACACCGGATCACACACACACACACACACACACACACACACACACACACTGGAGTGGACCAGGTGCACTCGAAGGACACGTTTGCTCTTAACTTCCTGTGATGCAACATTTCATCTAACAGTCATAAACAGAAAGTTAT